CATCCAAGAAGTATGCGGAGGTAAGGTAACCTAAGAGGAAGGTTATAGTATCTATAAAAAAGAAACGTATCTCGATGCAGGCTTTATATATGTGGCGGATCTGGAGGCCATGTTTAAGATGCCGAAGTTTGCACCATTCTTGAAGAAAAAAAATAAAAGCAAAAAACATGGCTATAGGTGTAACAATATTGACCTCCAGGAGATCGTATGCTATTGAGATTGAAACTAGTTTGGATAAATAAGAAACAATTTGCTGGTGATATCTCCAAGAGGAAATCAAGCTGCTGCAAATAACCGTAAAAAACAGGACTTTACAACTCTTAGTGTACAGTAAATACAATATTTTCGCGAAACGACCGGCTAAGCCGATAAAAATGGGGGAGACCGCATTCTGGTTAAACTGCGACTAAAATATAAAATTAATCAGATCTAACAAAACTAGTTATTAATTAAACGTTAAAGAAAACATTATTCCCATTACAATAAAATAATTGTAATTTGACCGACTTTCTTTTTTAACTCTCCGCACTAAGAGGGCCTCCTTTTGCAAGCCCATTATGGGTTCGGCCAGGCCCACAATGGGGCTGTCGGGTGGTGAGGGACGGGGCCCGACATATCCGAACTGACCACCCCCGAAAAATTCCTGGGGCTTTTTCGACCCGTTCGGATTCGAGCCTGGTCCCCCAGAGCGGTAGACTGCCACCTTGACCGCTCGGCCATCCGGCCGCTCTATCCGGACCTTAAAAATAACACTTTCCTCTCAAATTTCACACGAAGCCGATGTTAATTGGTGTAAGCTGAGATAATTTACAGGGTTTCTTAAATTTAATGTCTGGATGGAATCGTCTGGACGTACGATTCCCGCGTCTTTTTCTCCTTTTCAAACGAGCAACCGTTGACGCCGTAGAAACCACCGCCAGTTTTGAAAACAGAATCGCTGATTGGCCGTTGATCATCGTAAGAACTGCGGACCTCCGAGAGCGCTGCGAAGCGCTGATTGATCAATCAGCGCTATCTTCAATCCGTATAAAAAGATTCGGCTGATTGCAGAGACAGAGTTTACATTAAACGACGTTTACACATTGGCTCTTACTTACTTCGCTATTACTCCCCTGTTTTAGGAGTCGTTCGGCCAATCGGATTATTTCTTCGTGACGTCAGAAATGGTCGAGTGAGTCTAGAAAATAGGTCAAATAACTTGTTTTTAATCGCTGTCTTTTAGACAGCGATTAGAAACAAGTTATTTGACCTATTTTCTAGACTCACTCGACAGCAGGTTTAGAGGGCTTTTCAATTCGAGTGGTAGCTTTGTTTGTGGAAAAGTTTAGATAAAAACAGACATCGTTTCTTTGATAAATGTTGTAAACGGTACGAATCGACAAAATTACTCATTAATTAATTAACTGCTCGGAACAAAAACAACAAAATGAAATACTTTAAATTTGTTTTAAATGTTCCAATTTCGATATTCAAATGGGTGAAGACTTAAAACTACAATTAAATCAGATGCATTTATTTACAATTTGAGTATCGTGTCGGTTATAAAACGTTAATGCATTTCGGGGTCGTTGTACTGTTAAACAAACGAGACAATTTTAATAATTACAGAAATCTGTTTATAGATATAAAAATGTAATATTAATAATAAAATATTTAAAATTATTCATTTCGACAGTAATAAGATGTCGAAATAATTCCTTAAAATTCTATTCCGAAGACGAATTTCGAATTCGGTATAAATTTTCTAAATATGGNTTTTTTTGTTCAATAATAAATGTGAATTCTTCTTCCTGGAAAAAATAAGACATTCCCTGAAAATAAGACCTAGCGCATTTTTCAGAGCAAAAATTAATATAAGACACTGTCTTATTTTCGGGGAAACACGGTAAGTACAGTACATCTCAGAAATACGCAAGGTGTCTTTTCGACGGACCTGTTCTGGATTAATTGACTATTTGGACTCTATTTTGTGTATGAAACCTACGTTGTAAATATCCTTTATGTAAGTTTTATCTGTTATTATAAACGTTTTGTGAACTGAACGTGTGATTTTGGAATTTGACTTTTAGTATATTTATTTTTGCGTCTTTGAATCAAATAACAATAAAATACACACGCAAAAAACACTTTCGGAATTCCACGATTATTTTACGATTTTAGAAAGAAGACAAAATGAAGAAATTAAACATAGCATTACATCAAAAACTACGATTATGACAGTTTCAGTTTTAGAATGAAAACTCCTCAGTTTTTACGTGACATAACTCGTTCGTTTTTTAATGCCCAGTCTAGAATGGATGTACAGTACTGTACAGTATAACTTCACTTAAACCAGCATGCCGGTTTTTACCGTACGAAAATATCTGATTTCATGGTTTCCCTGGATAGATAGACCAGTATGACAGTCATTCCGCGAAAATACGGTACAATTTTCATTTTATTATACATTATTTACTAGTGTTGCAACAAATAGTATATTCGGCCATGCTATTCGGCTTGATTAACGCACGTACGAAAATTGGCGCGCAAACCGCATTATGGCAAGGACCCTGCTCTCTATTCGCCCGCTGTCACTATGCTTCGCCAATCGCGTTAATTCTTGACAGTTGAAGCGGACAGACACGAGCGTCATGGCAGTATGTGATAAGTGATGATATCAAATTTGGATAACAATGAAATGACCTACACGTGTAAATAACGGAAAAATAACAGAGAAGGACCGCGAAGTGAAAATAAATATGAAATTGAGTTGATAACATAAACAAGTCGAGACAGCTTATTGGCGCGAAATTCGTGGCCATGAATGCCAAACAATTGTTGTCATAACTTCGGAAAGCTAAATGCTTGTAATGAAAGTCACTTAGCGTGCACGGGCGAAAACCTGGGGCCGTTCGAGCTACCAAGCTGTCTCGAATATGTGAAATCATAACTGACTTATACCGACGTCCTATTGTCTCTTTTCTCCGTTATCACCAGGCTATGAGTCACGTAATTGTAAAATGGGAAATCTACGAAAAATTGACGAATCGAAAGTATCGTGAGCGCGTATTATGATGTATGCATAGGCATACGTGGACTAGAGCGATAGAGGAAAGAGAAAGGGAAGAGCAAAGACGAGCGCTTAAAAAGGATAGGCAGGGTCAGACTCTCGCTGTCAGATGTGTGACGATTTTCGAACGAATAGGTGTGTATGTGTGCTGATCTTTGTAGTAATTATAAATTGTGAATACTTGTGACTAATGTTATGTTCTTTTTTATTTTGTGCATGTTATAAGTTATAAATAAATATAAACAAACAACACTAACCCGATAACATTAAATCTAAATACGAAAATGATTAACTGTTTTTGTTATGTCTTACTCCTGTTTTTAGGTATTCAGTATTCGGCCGAATACCGAATAGTAACCGAATATTCGTTACATCACTATTATTTACGTATTTTATTTATCATTTTCATGTTTTAATTTCTTATTTCGGGTATTTGGTATTTTTACCTTAAATTATGTGAATTTGCTGTTTAAGTTCATCGAAATTTATTGTTTAGTGTCGGGAACGGATTAATTCACTTTCCATTGTTTCTAATGGAGAAAATTGATTCGGGCTTCGAACTACCTCCTGGAACTAATTAAATTCAAAGTACGAGGTAGTACTGTCTTATAAAACTGTGCATTCTTTTACCTAGTTAACAGATGCGAGATGATCATTGCGGCGCAGGCGATATTCTGTTTGACAACATACTGTATTTCTTTTCGCATGGGACTCTTAAGTCCGTTTTTAGTCTCTAACCTACAATCTAATGTTATAATTTTTACTTTTTTTAACATTATTAGACAACAATGGGCGCATGACAGGCCAATTCTGTCTTAAATGAAGCCGTCGTGTCTGTTCAAAAAGTAAATTCTTAAAACTGAATGTTTATTTAGTAATTTGATCTTTCCATTTTATAATAATCTGTTTGGAACGAAAAGTTGGTTGTCACTGTCTGTCCTACGATTTTGCCAACTTGCCCTTCTTTATCAGTGAGAAAACGAGTCTCTTATCCCATGACGCGTTTTTAAGTCTACCGCAGCATAATATCACATTTATAAGAAACAAAAGCAATCTATTCTTCAAAAACATTTATATTCGTCATGTGTCTGCTAAAATTGACCAATTACGACCCAAGATGGCGTGTACGCAATACATCACGGGAGCGTGACGCGACCTTAATGTTTTTGGCAAGGTCTATAAACATAAGAACAGTAAACTACAATTTCTATCATTTAGCAGACATTTACGGTCACACAAACATTTGTAATAGGTTGATCTTTATAGATGAAATATGTGATAAAAATACTGTCAACAATTATATTTTTAAAAAGAAAAATTCACTAATTTTATTGAGCTGTTTGTACAAGGCAATATTTGTACCAATATACATACTTTAATGTAAACTGTACTATTCGTAAGGCAAACACGTTTAATGAAAAGCCAAATATTTGGCTCGAGCGTGGAATAATGAGAACCAAAATAAACTCGCTATCAAGATGGAGTCGCATCGAAGGCACCATCGTGTCATGTAAGTATGAACGAACGGCGGAAGGGTTACGACCGAAGCATACCCGATTTGATGGAGATAAAATCCACTTACATCTATTCGAGGACGATTATAAAATTTTACAACAATAGGGAGGGAAGAACTTATTTGGCAACGCGAAATTAAAACAACAGCTGTTGGTTACAAACTTAATAAATAAAATATGTATATTAGATTACATGTTTTGGCAAGTAGAATAAAAAATATCACAAGTATTTGAATTCGTGTTTAAAAGTATTAAGAATCTTTTGGAATTTATAAAAAATTCTTGTTAAAATTATTAGGTGGTTACTAATTCTGTAATTTATTCCGTAACACTCGTTAGATTAAAAACAAAACACGAAAATCGTTAACCCTGAGCCATTTTGTATCCGATTCCCTGATTAGAAAAAGAATTGCGCATTCTTTTTCTTTGATGATCTGTTCTCGTGCAAAAAGTACAAGTTGCTTGACGTTCAAGTTCAATCGGTTTTCTGACAATATAGTTCTTTTAATGATTTCAACTCGTCGATGAGAGCCTTGTTCTGGTTTTCCAGAACGGCCACGCGATTCTCTAAACATTTTATATATTCTTTCTTCTTCCTTCTGCACTCTTTAGCAGCTTCCCTAGATAAATAAATATTAATTAATGGTAAGTAATCAAATACGTTATTATTTTTAAAATATTCTATTCAATTTTTTCAAAACTAAATTCTGTTATTGTCATTTACCATTTAATGTACTGTACATTTTTTTATGGAATGTACTGTCTTTTTTTATGGAATGATGATTACTTTAAAAAAACTTTACTACTGAAAGCTAGTCAATCCAAAAAAACAATGAAATAATCTTCAGTGGAAATATTCTTGTGTTTCTATTAAATAGATGACGATTAATTTTATATTTGGAAGAAAAGATTTCTAATTGTCCAATATGCAGTCGACCCCCCCCTATAACACTGTTGATTTTTTCGTTTTATATGAATTCCATGTTGTACGAGTCACTTAGATTTTACAAATACGTGTGCCAGGCTGTGAACGGCTCACATATTTGTAAAATCTAAATGACTCATACAACATGGAATTCATATAAAACAGAAAAATCAACAGTGTTATAGGAGGGTCGACTGTATTCTAAATCTATTAAATAGTTTTCTTAAACTATTTAAGCAAAAAATCATGTGATCTAGTATATCTGGGAATAAACTGTCAACAACAAACAGACACTCTGAGCCGGTGCATAAATATATATCTTTAAAACAGCCACCCATTCAACTTTCAACAAATGCCTACTTTGAAATTTGAGAAGCCATACTTTAACAAAACTCACTGTCATTATTAGAATAATGTAATTCTAAATAACTAGTTGTGCCTGTTCCAATTATTTGCATTCAATCAAAGAGAATCTCCTGGAAGAGTTTTCTAGTGCAGTGGTTCTTGAACTTCTGGTGTGTACCGCTTGGACAGAAATACAAATCCCTGAGTACCCCTTCTGTAGATTGTAGAGGCTTCTACACGTGCTTTTTGTTTCTATGTTCTTCTGTATGGTTTTGGTAGATTCCATTGGAGATAGTAAGTTCAAACAAAACTCAGCATGTGAGATTTTCTGTATGAGTTTATTGGCATATGTGGGTTTAGTAGGACATATCTGCATATATCTCCACTTTGCTTCTATATAGATAGTCCTTTCTATCACTCTTATGCACTGGATTTCTTTTTCTACTGTCCATTTTGGGCATCTTGAGGAGATTGCTATATGATTTCCTCCACAATTTACATACAGATTGGTTTGGGCAGCTACTTTCATGTGGTTGTTCCTCATAGTTTGGACATCATGTTTTGCTCCAGCAATTACATTTGGTGTGTCCATAAGCCTGGCAGTTACAACATCCGAGCGAATTTGGGATATACGGCTGGACCCTCACAATAGTAGTAATGCAATAGCATACCTAAATTGTAAACTCAAAAAACATACAATGCCAGATATATACCTCTTCTGATATTTGGCTGGCCATTTCACCCAAAATGCCAAAAAAAAATATTTGATTTAAACAAGTCACTTTAACCTTAAAATACCTTTGGCATGGCTTTGAAGTACACAATGAGCTGATAAATGATAAACAAATATTGACATGCACAGAAACGACATTACTTTCCAGTCCCCCTAATATAAACTATGTGGGAAGTATGTTCTCATAAATATTACATTTATAAAAAATTCTTGGGCTGCAATTTGAAAAAATTGTAGACCTATGGCATTCTGTCTGTCTGTTCTTCCTTAATCTCAAGAAAGGAGTTACCTACATGAGTCAATAACAGATGTGGCAAGCTTAGGGCAGGAGGTCCAGATTAACTATATATGAACTTCTGGTTTGTAATGGAAGTCATATTACTTCAAAATTTTCCCCTGAACAGAGTTATATAGATGACTGACACAACTCTATTGCTAACAGTAAAAGTATGATGTACAGGGGCAAGACACTACTAAAAGAATTGAGAACATTGCAATGATGTCACAATAAATAATCACTTACAAGTTAGTAGAATTAGTTTGTTACAGCAATGCAACACAAGCAATCTGCCAAGGGGAATGCATCCCAGGAAGTGTTTTATGTAAAGCTGGACCCTATTTAGGTATTACTAATGTGAAGAAAATCCAGAAAACTGCTCGCTGTGACAAGCTCAAACCCACGACTAACTAACAACCAGAGTTCAGTGATTTTATGCATTTTGCTACTGGAGAGCACTTATTAGAATTGTGTCATCCGTGTGTATATTGTCGGTCTCTGCTGTAAAAAAAAAAAAAAATTTGTTTTCTTTTGCTTATAATTATCTTTGTGTATATATACATATTTTGCCAATGTAATTAATGTAAACAATTGTCACGATTACTGTGTACGCGCGGTTTTATTTGTGTTTTGGGTGGTTTTTGTGTGTCAGCACGGTGTTAGTGGTGGAGGAGTTATATATAGTGGGGAACCGGAAACAAGGCATTCTGGTTCCTGGCGTTCAGGTGTGAAGGTGTGTCCTTTGATTTGTCTTCGGTGGACTCTTTGTGTAAGCTGCCACGTGCCAGGCCTAAGCTGACCTCTTGTATTGTGATCCGATATAATCATATTTTTGGTACATAAAACTTGTTTGATCCTATATCGTACTCGCCCCATCCTTTCGTGACATATCATTTTCATTCACCCCTGCGAATATCATCCCTCAGATATTCGCAGATTCCACAGAATTAAGAAAGTACCATTCAGAAATGAAAAAACCCAAGCCGTTAGACGTGGAAAATTAAACACTTATAGACTTTTTATGGGGTAACACTTTTGATTCCATGCAGGCAAGTGCTATGTGGTACCTGTTGCAGTAATGATATAGTGTGTCTATTTCACGCTATATCAGGGATGTCCAACCTTTTCGTTTCTCTGGGCCACAATATACTTGTGGCCCATAGAAACAAAAAGGTTGGACACCCCTAATATAGCGTGAAATAGACACACTAATCCTTAAATATACACGTATATTTAAGGATTTACATGTCTAGATTATAGTAACAAGTATTAAAACTTTATCACGAAAAAGGATATTTTAAAAAATTACTTCTACAGACATTTTTAATTTCTACTTTATAATAAATAAATCGATCTATTTCTAAGGAGACAGACAAAAATTTATTTGAAAAAAAAATACAAATATTTGGGTCTCTAATTAATAAAAAACCAAAAAAAACACCATTTTAAAGTGCATTTTTATTCAACTAATATATTTATAAATAATATGTAGCCTAAAATGTAGCCAATGCGCCAAATGATATTTTTTATGCCAAACTAAAAAAAGGGTAGCCAAATCTTGCAATGCTGAAAGGAATATTAAATAAAACTAGAGTTGGGATTCAAAGGATTAAAAAATAAAATATTTATAAAGGTTTACGGCTTTGTGAAACTTCTTTTTAAAGGTTTATGCCGTTGAAATAAATAAATAAAAAAAAAATTTGTCAGTTTTGTTTACACATTTATTGGGCCACATTGGAACTTGCCTTGGGCTGCATGCGGCCCATGGGTTTGACACCCCTGCTCTATATCATTGTCACAATAATCAAACAAATAAACTAAATATAATTCTTACAATATATATATTATATTATTTTTCTGAAGTTTTTTCCAATAGGTGGCACTATGCATAAAGCCAGCATATGGAATGTAGATAGAAATCCAATCAATATTTTGGGATGGAATGTACAACATTATCTAAGTTAGAACTATGTGAATGTAACTATGCAATGTAACTGTAATTGCAGAGTTTCATAGCAATTGGTTGAACAGCTTAGGAGTGTGTAGTGAACAAACAAAATTCTCATTTTTATATATAGATTACTGCTGTGCATGCTCTAGTCTCATGCAAAGAAATTTGACAGAGATTAGGCTATAAGATCAACAACTTTTGCACATCCAACCATTCACAAAATATGATCAATTAATTCTACAATACATCAACAAATGTTTAACTTGCTAAAATATGTCTATGAGACTGAACATCAAAAACACATTTTATGGTTAGTTTTCATGTTGATTTACTATCAAAATGTCCTCAAAAATGTGTGTTAGACAATTATTATTGTTTTTCAAAATTAACATATTAATAGAGAGATTATGTAGAGAAAACAAAATACAAAAACAATTACCAAAAGTAGTTTGTTGTTTTATATTTTATATCACTTACCTATTTTTTAATAACCGCAACTCTCGTTTTCTAGATGCCTCTTCTGCTATTTGGTGCTGGCTCTGGATGTTTGAAGATGATGACATGACAACACCCTGTGGCAGACCTGAGGCAGTCGACCCTGTTCTTATTTGATATGCTTGAAGATCGGCAGCAGATACTGTAACTAGCAGTTATGAGAATTTATACTTATTAGAAGTGATACAATCTAGATATAATTTGTAGACTTTTAGTATCATGTAGCAAAAATAAACTTTTATAAAGTTTAGTAAAAAAGTTTAATTACCTGGAACAAAAAACTGTCCATCTTGACCCTGAGCGGCATACTGGACGATTGTTCCTGTGGTCCCTGATGTAGAATTAGTCATAGTTTGAAGATTAAGTGTCTGAAGGTTGCTCAGACCACCTTCTTGAGTCCCAGTTGATAATTGTATTGCCGATGCTGGAACCACTAATTAGTTTTAAAATCAACACTAAGTCATATTTCATATTATAAAAGATTTATTATTGAGAATTCATTAAAGAAATACCTTTCAGTAAACCTGCTGCTGTATGATATCGAGTATTACCGACAACTATTGTGTTTCCAGTGTCAGATTCCTGGCTTGATGTTTCAGAGCCACTAGTCGTCGTCGTCTCTTCTTTAACATCATTTGTTAAACTTGCAACTGCACCTTGTGTCTCTGCAGATGATAGTTCACTCAGTATCTTTCGATATGATGGTCGCCTTGCAAGGATTTCTCTACGTTTTCTTGATTCTTCCGATGAAATGTAAGAAGCTACAATTCCATCACTATCGTTATCTTCTTTAGTTGTCTGTATGAGCTGTAAAAAGTATTGTCCTACATATTAATAATTCTAATTGTTAATTTTCATAATTTTTAAAAGTACAAAGAAAAACATAGAAAATTTGAAACAATCAAAGTGCATTTATGATATTTACAAATAATTTTCTTATATCAGATTGTTGTTATATCAGATCACTTAAGTTGTTGAACAATTTATTGTTAAAATGAAAATGTGTTCAGATTAATTTTGATTAAAATTGTTTATAAATTATTTTTATTAGTTTATTTGATAAAATCTCAAAAATCATCAAGAAAAGAAAAATGCTCATAGGAAAAACCCCATCAATTCAATATTGGTTTAAAATATAAACTGCTCCTTCACTTGCTTCAGCTAAATAGAAAGAGAATCAGGCTAGCAGTTTACATTTTTAAAACAATGCCAAATCAATGGGTATTTTTCCTATGAGCATCTTTCATATGAAGATTCTAAAGATTGTACTTTATGTACAGATATCTTTGCTTAAGTAACTTCTAAAGAGGAAAAAATGGATATTCAGTCTTAAATCTAACAGAGAAGAGGCAACTTGTAGTTTTCCAAATTCTGTAAATCATCTTCAAAATGTTTTTAAGCAATATAAAGCATTTGTAACACATGTTTTGTCTAACAAAGTTTTATATTCAAATTACCAAAAGATTTGCAGATATTTTGACTTGAATACAAAATTAAATTTTACTTTCTATAATAGTTAATATAACATTATAATTCCTCTTGAAATGATTAACCAAACTATCAGTCTTTGAAATTCCCCCCGTCTCTTTCCACTTTACAAACATTAAGAGGATTTTTTTTCCAGGCCCATGATGGAACAGCCAGATAAAGAGAAAGAGAGAGACTACCCCTCTGAAAAATTCTTGGGGTTTATCACCCATTTAAATTCAATCCTGGGTCCTACAAAGCAGTTGGGCCAATACCCAAATTACCTGTCATTTAATCTGCAGAAGAGTCTTTGAATTAAAACTGCTAACTTTATGGTATCAGGACAATTTTTTTCTGATATTCTAACACCTAAAAACTTGTCAATATATTTATTTTTTAAAAATTATTCTCTGGGCAACAATGAGACTGTGGAAAATAATATGAAAAATGTTTTTAGAACCAGACTTCTGAATCTTAAATTAATTAAGGAACATTTTTACACATTTATATTAGGTGATTTGCATGTTTATTTCTATCTAGTTAATGGGTGATTTTGTTTGTTTTTCAGATTCTTTGGACATTTTATAACCAACTTTCAGAATGCAATGCCTTTCCTTAAACTCAAATTTAGAACCAAATAAGAAATAAAATTTAAATTTGTAAAAATTACAGATAGTGGAACCTAAATGGAATGGAGAAAAATAAAGTCCAGCAACTAGTTTCCAACTGTTATGAGATTTTATTTTAATAACAACATTTATGTGAGGGTCAGAAATTTCATGTTGTGGACTTTAATTTTTTATAAATTTTAATTAAATTTTAAATGCAACTTTATAAAGACGGAACGAGTTGTTAAAAAATTAAGAGAGAAAAGGGAAAAATAAAATCGATAAAATCTGGTTAAAACCCTAGATTCCCACGAGTTAGGTTCCTTGTTGAAATGAGTACATCTCTGTGTCACAATTGTCACCTGTCATCTCATGGTCCAAGGAGATCGTCATCCCTGACGAAAACGGGGAAAGGCCCGAAAAGATGACTTCATATAAAAAGGACAGGCATGGTGAGTAAGATCGGGGAAGTTATGAATTGATTGTGTGTGCACGACATGTCCACCTCCCGCCGAGATCACCTTCGAGAACTGTACCTGTATGTTTATTTCCTCGCCGACTGAATTTTAGAATATCAACGAACTTCAAGAGAACTACTTTGGAAACCAAGGATTTGGGAACTTTATTACTCAAAAATCAGTATAAGTTAAGGTATTTATCCTGCCCACGCACTATTGTACGTTCTCTCTCTCTCTGCGTAAACTAATCGCGAACTCGATTGTAACCAGAAACGGAATTGCAGAAAAGATCCATGCTGAACGCGATTCACGTAACTTATATTTAGCCCTATACTAACTTTGTAACCTTAAATTCGGATGTATAACTAACTTAGATTTAAAATAAATAAACGGTTATTTATGGTTAAAACATCTTTGAGTGCAGTTCCTTCCGTTCTTCTCTCCGTTCACTCCGTGCAATAGTTTGTGCTTTCACTGCAACGTTCTTCTCTCCGTTCACTCCATTACGGGTCCAAACCTCATATGTAACTGCTCGCGTGAACTTGTGGTCTCTGCATTGACCTACGAACACAGTGGTGTCATCCTGACGTGGTATCGAAGAGATACCGACTCAACGGTCACATTTATATTATTAATCATAATAAATAAAATCGTGTGTGATATCATCTGCCATGATTGTGTTATAAAATGGAAAAAGCTTAATTTTGAGGGTAGAGGTGAGTTTTATAAAAAAAAAAACTGCATATGCTAATAAAATAAAATCTTCATTAAGTCTGACTTCTCTCAAGATATGATACATGACTTCTATCTTCCCACCACTTTGACCTTTAACCATCAAAATTGAATAGCATCAATGTCCAAAATAGCTACCAGATCAAAATTCATTTCTTAATCTATTTCATCCTGAGATATTAAATGAAATAGATGCCAATACATACACACACATGGAAGTTTCCTCCTTTTTTTTTTTTACTTTTTTGGATTCAGGTCTCAATGTTTGCAAAAGACCCAGAGGTCAAATTTGTCATGACTCCAATACCTTTCCTTGTTATGTGTACATAATAACCAGGAAAAGTACAGTCAATTATCCAACATCTTAACAAATAAATTTTGTGTAATACACAACAATTCATTTGATTCCTCAAATCAATTACTTCTTCATTGCAATAGTTTGTGCTTTCACTGCTAAACCCCAACACTACCATAAAAACTGCTAACTGCTTCTTATTCAGAATTCAAATAGTTTAAGCAACAATGAATTTTATCATTGAGTAAGATAATAGGAATGAGATTCAAATTCAGATGGTTCTCCAGATGACTCCAAATTAAATTGTTCTAAATTATTTCAATATTAGAGATATATTAAATTCTATAGGGGCAGCCATTTATTTGGAACAAATCTTAAAAGATTCTAATTAATTTGCTGATTTGCCTTTAATCTGTTTCAATTATTTAGGACAGAATGCCACAATGCCATTTGATCAGGATAGTGATTGGTAGATGGCATGCTTATGACATGTGATAGGGACACTGGGTATGTCATCATTGATTTATTCAGGAAAAGCACTTGTATAAATTCTGCTTCCAATATACTAAAGATAACAGGATGCTTAATCCCAGAAACAGAAGTGTGAATGCAGAGATAGCCATTGTGAAAACCTCATATCAATGGCTTTAGTCTTATCTGCACTCTGTGCAAGAAGTTTTGGCATCCAGCAGCCTAATCAATGTATAAATAGTAAAATTTTGCACCCATTTTCTCTTAGTGTCTTGTGCAACTATACAGTTAGATCATACCATCTAAAGCTGACACCACTTGTGAGTGAAACCTAAGCAAAAGGAGCTAAAAAGTTGTCACAAAAATTTAAAGGCAACAAATGGTTAATTGTCTCGACAGAAATCTTGGCATAGCATTAAATTGAAGAAAGTACAGTAAGACCCCGCTTAACTCTGATTCAAATTAACACGGTATTTCATTGATTCGTATATAATATGATTATGCCCAAACACGAACCAATCAGCAAAAGGTGGCAATTCATTGTAGTGCTGTACTTCCCTTAAATCCATGTTTGTTTTGTGCAATTTTGGAAAAAATATAACATCACAGATGCTATAGGAAATATCGACTTTGCTTGGCAAGAATTAACTGATAAATGCATGAATGAAGTGTGGAAGTAGTTATAGCTGAAGGTATCCAAGAATTGTCATCGAGAAGAGCCTATCGCTGTATCGTTACATTGACAAAATTGTCAGCTTAATCGATACAGGAGATGTAGACGAGCAGGATATTGGGTTATTGCAGGTTTCTGGTAAGAGCCTTACCAATGACAATCTTCAAGAATTGGCAGAACAAGGAATTCATGTAGAACTGGAAAATAGAGATTCTGAAGACAAAGAACCCAAAGAATTTCTCTACAGATTTCCTTAGTAAAAGTTTGGTAACAATAACCAAAATCATTTATAAATTGTAGCAAATGATCCAGATTTTGATAGGAGTGCCAAAATGAGGTGGTTTGGATGCAATCTTCTGCTACCGACATTTGCTTAAGGAAAGAAAAAGAAAGCAACTAATGAAACTACACGACTTCATTGCAAAAAACAAGAATTTCAGAAGAGCCAGGACCTTTGTCACAAAAAATTAACGTTATATTTCTATGTGCCTATGTTTGTGTTATTTAACATATATTATTATGCAAAACTTTACATAAAAATAACTTAAAATTATAGTGAAATGTGCTTATTTTTTTGGTCGCGTGTTCCCCTATCCCTATTTACTGTATATTAAAATTGTTTCACTTTGTCGTCTAGGAACGCATCCCCCGCATTAAGTGGGGTCTTACTGTATATGGCAACAAGAGCAATGCTTATCTTATAAGTGTTGAGTAATTTTTATGAATTTCTGTTGTTAAGTTACTTAAAATTTATACATATGACATCTACATTATCCATGAAAAAAGCCCATTTTATTGTGCTATGGCAGATGATTTCCAGAGTTACGAAGATGTAATGCTGCTGGATTTCAAAACAAGCGATAGAGCACATAAATGTATTACGTTGTTGAAATGAATCAGCAGATGATAAAAGAGTAATTTTCCTAATAACTAAAAACTAAGTCTTGATGCTTTAATTAAAGAACTTACCAGAATTACTAAACTGTTCATTCTATTATACTAACACAAGAGTGACATCCTCATCAATAAAAATGGAGAAGATAAGCAATAGAAATTTGATAACCTTTAAATTAAAAAAATTATAAAACTACTTACTATACTTTAATATTAATTCTGAATATTTATTCTATATTTGAAATTTTCATTTGCAAATTTTTTTTTATAACACAATATGTCTAGAAAGTTACTAGATTGATTCAATACATAGAGAGATGTTATTGATTTACTTCTCACATTTTCTTTCCTTTTCAATATATACATGCGTGAGAAACCAGGGGGCAAAGAGGGCTATAGACCACTTAGTCGGCAACCAGTTGGTAAAACCTGTTCATTTGGTCACTGGATGGCTTTTATAGATTATAAAAGACAAGGAAATTGCGAGATTTCTGTCCCCTGTCAAGATCTGACATCAGTTAGGATAGAGTTAAATGTGTCCTAACTCGCAATTATTCTAATCTATTTGGTTCACAGAGTTCAAAAATTAAAGGATGGCTATTAGTTGAGTGGTGAGTGCAATGGGCAAGTTGATAGGGTCTAAAAGCCAAAAAATGGAGTCGACATCTGGTTTAAACAAGTTAACAAATTTAATATACAGTAATACCCCAAACTTACGCGATAGGTGGGACCAAGCGGTAACCGCGTAAGTTGGGGTATAATTTTGCATATAAATAATTTTTAATTGGGGCCTGAGACTAAAGAAAACAACAATTTAGAAAAAAATGTTTAATAAAATCTTAGATAATATAGGCCTAATTTGTTATACATATGTATTATTATTTTACAACTTTTCACATTTACTTGATTATCACGCCATAATTTTAACATTGTTTCCATCTCAGCGATAATACCATGACGTTTACGAATGATGCTTGAATTTAATGATTCAGCATTTTTCACAGCTTTGAAAATTTTTTTTTTTCCTTTTATAATTGTTCTGACCGTCAATTCCGGTAGATCAAACTTCTTTGCCAATTCACAAATTTTCATTTTTGTATCGAAGTCTTTAATAATGGGTACGTTTGTAAAATCAAACGAGTTAAATGCGTTAGTAACGAATCGTTTTAAAAATCTAACGAAACAGGAATAACGATGATGTCATTCTCGTTTAACTCGTTCCACTTTATTTTCCAAAGATAAACTTTTTCTTTTCTTGTTTGATGCAGAAGAATTAGTTCTACTTCGTTTGGATGACATAGTACAGTCTCTCAAGTCTCCGTAGATATAACAAACACAGAAATAAATAACACAAAATAAATTGTAGCTATGTGTCGATTCGACACGACATGTCCGAACATGTAAGCTGAACAATAGTGTGGGGGGAGTGAGTAATCAAGAGTTGCATGGCGCTCAAACAAAAGATGAATCGATGAGATTTGAAAATCGCGTAAGTCGGGGTAGCGTAAGTTGAGGTATTACTGTATACGATATAAACTTAGATTACAAGGTAACTATGAAAACATAACTACATATTAAGTGTAAGTATGGTGCTTGCGAGGTTCTAAGGAAATCATTCCTGTTCTATCTACGTCTTTGAGAGAGTTTACAAATAATCTACCGAAATACATCTGAGAGAGAGATTCTCTACCTCTGTGGGGGAATAGATGAGGTTGAGTCATAGTCGATGGCTTCCTCATCGTATGGCAGATCTGACCAGGGGTCTCTGCCTGGATAATGACGAGTATAGCCTGGGGATGGTGCCCGTGGATCTAGATTGTAGGCCATCGGGTAGAGCTTCTCCTATGCTCTGGGTATGTCCACCAGAATATATTGAGACAGGGAGACTCGGGTTATCTGCTTCTATGGTGGAGTCCACCCCGAATCTCGAGTTCAAGCTCCTTTTATCCTCCTAGGCCTGGGAAAATGATCAGGTGATCAGCTGTTTGGTGATGAAGTTGCAGGTGTGAGGTTATAGGTGAGTCGTTGATGACGCTAAGATGCCATTTAAACAGAGCTGATAGTACAATATTTGGTTCGAGACTTGTTAGATTCATCCTGTTTATTCATTTGAAGGTTGACATTCCCCTCTTTTAACAATAGATTGTTATAATTTCTTAACAGTTGTTGATGAGAAGGGCAACATTCAATCCTTTTTCTGTGCAATGTTTTCTTAATGATTGCAATGGAGAAATGGGTTAAAAATTTCCTTAAATTAGAGACAAATTGGGCTCTAGATCTCACAGTTGCATGGTTTTAGAAGTCCCTGGAAGGCCTGATGTGATGACAAGATTGTTGTCACCAGATCTTTTTTAGAATGATTTTCTGATAATCAGTCACTATTTTCTTGAATTTTTGTCCTTGTGAAAACTTTGAGTTTTGGAAAATATCTCCTGGGATAGGTCCAGAAAATATGTAAGATAAAAGATTGTTGTCATCTATTGTTTGTCTATAAATCAGGTTACAAACATTGAAATGTGCACCATTGTGTTGAGGAAGAGGAATCATTCTCTGCTTTGATGAAAATTTGGTTGAATTTGTTGGGTTATTTTGAACAAACAATCTATAACCTGTTGTAGAAAAGATTCCAGAGACTGCTTATAGTATTCTTCAGACACAGATTTTCATTGATTATGGATGGACATCCATCCAACAAATGTTAACCATTACAGCAAGATTTGTATTATTAATACAGATTGGCTTTGATAACCATTCATCTCTGTGAGTTCTTTTCATCAATTCAGAGAGTTCTGATAGTTTTGCATTTGAAATACAGCATGACTGCAGTTTAAAGCTCTATTTTTCATACAAAGATAAAAAAATTTGCACTAATAAATAAATAAACAAAAATTGATTACTGAAAAATTCATGCATTGCCCAACAGATAGCACAATTAGCTAACCTCTTAAAGTCATTTAAGGAACATTCCAAACAAACTCTATTACTTTCAAGTTCAGTAACAATTTGAAGTTTTTACCAAAATAAATCTTTAGAAAGTATTTAATTTTGAGTGTTGTGAATGCAGATATTTTATAGTTTTATATTAACAATTCAGTTATCAATAATTAAATTCAAGTTTTGACATCTCTGAAAATTTCTAAATAGAAAACTATTATTAAATATTCATCTGTTCATTAAAAAAAAATTGTAAACTTCTATAAAATTGCATTCTTGTTTATGATTTTTAAATTAGTAAAAATTGGATTTTTACTAATTTAAGGATTTTTGTCAATCCTTATTATAGAATCTTAATAAGCTAAACATTTTATAAATTGACAAATTTAGTATATTTCAAATTTTAATTTAAATCTAGCCTGTGGGCAATTAGACTGTCTTTTTATGTGCCTGTAATGGATTTGGCCAGGTCCACAATGAGACCCAATACGTATGGATCAATTCATTTGTGAAAATTTAAGGAGCTAACCACAGATTCAAACCAAACTTGAATCACCAAAGCAGCAGGTTGATATGCCTGCCATTATTGCAAGTTACTGTTGAAACTTAGAGTTTTGAATTACAGAAAGGACTAGAAATTCCAAACTCCAGACATAGATAAAAAAAGAAAGAACATGTCTTTTGTTATTCTGAAACCTTTTCATTAAATTTTAAATGTGCTATATAAAAATTAGTTTAAGAACTTCAATATTGATAAAATTTTACAAAAATCTTACTTGAACAGGATGTACATTATTTTCTCCTTCTGTACTTTGAATTACAGATCCTTGTCCTCCAATTTTGTTCAAAAGTATGACATTCTTTGATAACTAAAATTTTAATTAAAAATAAATAATTCTTATAAATTCAGTTTTAAAAATATTGCAAAATTTTTATTTAATATAAATAAAAAAATCAATGTGCAATAAAGAATGTCCAATAGCTTTGGATCCATTACAAATAACACAGAATTTTCAAAAGTATTACAACTGTAATTCATGTAATATCCATCTATTATGTCTTAATGTTTGTGTTCACTATGACTCCACTGTAGGCCTTATGGACAGCACCTGGAAATGCTGCAACAAAACTACTTTTCTAGACTCATAGATGACCTCTCTATTAATTTTTCCCCAAATTCTTTTCAATGCAGAAAGTTTCAGTTGGATTAAATTGTTCTTGATACCTGACTTTGAAGAGAGCCAGGTATCAAGGTTTGGGTAGTACATTGGGTACATTGTCCTTCTTTGAGACAAAATTAAGATTTATGGAAGGAAGGTAATCTGTCACTTTTTTGGCATAATGATGCCAAGTCCAGCCAGAACAAGATTTCCTTGATTTTTTTTGATGTTTGGTTATAAACAGGTTTAATCCCTTCTTCATACACTTGTTCAAGTATGTATCAGCATTCTTAGCCCCTCTGCAAAGTATGGTTGTGAAGTGTTTCCATTTACATCCATGGCTTGCCACACTAACAAGGGGAACCCAGGAGGTTGTCATCATTGATTTCGATGAAATTTTGTGGATGTGTAGTATTTACTCGTACTTAAACTTTACTAAAGCCATAGGACCCACTATTCAGGCATTCTTGAGAAAAATCACGATTAAAGTTTTTCTAGAATTATTAATACCTATGCAAAAGTGCCATTCATGTGTTCATGGCATGGTATGATCAGTTAAGGTGTTGCATGAAGTGTTGATGTGTGTGTTTGAATCCCAAGAAAGGTAATTTTTTTTTACATTTAACTTAATCTTATTGTTATTAAATTTGTTATGTACAATTTTTATACCATTTGTAATTATTGAATTTTAAATTTATTATTATTTATTATTCTTTATAAAATATCAGAGAATTCAAAAATTATTTTTCAACAATTTAAAATTTTTGGCACAAAAAATATACATGCAATAAATACTTACAATTACTGTTTCATAAGAATATGACAACATTTTGGGTGGTATTTATCATAAAAACAGGACCCTTCTCAGGCTCACAAGAGCATATTCTACTGCCTCGAATTATTCTCTTCAGGTCATCAATAGGAAAACACCTCTGGATCTTCATTTGAGGCACATTGCTTGTACTTGTCGTGGCCTTTCCTAATATGATATCATTATGAACTCTACCTCCTATGCTGAAAGCACCTATGAGACAGATATACCATTTACCAACCTCCCCCATCCAGCAGTGAGATGTGGGTTTGACACATCCTTTACAGTTGCTGCTGATTATACAATCTTCACAGATGGATCAAAGAATGCAGAGGGCACGGGCTCAGCCTTCGTCGTTTTTGCCAATGAGGAGGAAATATATCAGAATTCTGGCACTCTTCATCCCAACTGCTCTATATTCCAGGCAGAACTCTGTGCCATTTACATGGTTGTTCAATGGTGTGAAGCCAATCTCACTGGAAGTAGAGTTACAATTTACTCTGATAGTGATTCAGCAATCAACGCACTTAGGAATCCCAACAACCTTCATCCTCTGGTTAGGAAGATTCTAAACCATATACCTTGTGCTCAGAACTCCTATTTCCTCGAATGGATGAGAGGTCATCAGGGTGTCCTAGGTAATGAATGTGCAGATCTACTTGCCAGGGAGGCTGCAACAATCAATACCTCTGGTCCTTTCAAGTATTCAGTGCTACCTGCTTCTTTTCTTAAACTCCAACATTGGAACTACAGCTTGGATCTCTGGCAGCAGAGATGGGATAGCTACAATGGCCTTGCCAGGAACTTTTTTCCATCTATTCATGACCATCTTTTTCACCGCTGGGATAGTCCGGACTTTGAAACCACCTAATTCTTCACTGGACATGGGAGATTCCAGGCCTACTTACAGAGGTTTGGCACATCTTCAATGGACATCTGTACCATCTGTAATTGCTGTGATGGGGTTGAGCACTATATATACATGTGTCCAATGACTGAGGATGCTAGAGCAAGAGCAATGCTAGGCATTGCCCTTGCTCTTAGCCACAGGGGTATTAATTGGCCTTGTGAACTTCATGTCATTCTTAAGGATAGTGACACCTACAAAGCATTCAAAAAATTGATTCATAAGTATCACATACGCTCTGTCATTCATTAAGTTGGTCAACTCTGTCATCGGGCACTATTTTCATTTGTTCCCTGCACATTATTATACATATCATTATTCGTTCTGCTGCAACATATATATATCTGTGTAATGTTTATTATTACTATTAGTATTGTCTATTTTATACTACTGTACATGTTATTCTACTTTCAAGTTATGTATCACATCGGTTGATTTGTATCGGTCATCTCACCATCTGTTCATACTTCTTCTCTATTGTCATACTGTTTGTACGTTATCTCTCTGTTATTATGTATATATTTACCTGTGCCTTGATATATCTCTGTATTTAACCCAATTATGCTCTGGCGGTATCGGGAGTAAATGAAGATAAAGTTAAAACGTAATAATTCAGTGCACCATGCATGCGATCATTGCTACTTCATTTTATTTTAATAACAAAGGGTGGAAAACAAACTTCATTAACATTTTTGAAAATATTTTTTTTGTGTGTTATTTCAGATGCAAACAATGCATATTTTAACATGTCACAAAAAACTGGTGTGCCCAACTGGTTATGATTTAGAGTGTATTTTAATAGAATCTTCATGATTGGCTATTTCTCTATTGGTTTTAAAGTGATAGCTACAGTGCACTAGTGCTCGTTGATGCCAAATGAATATTCATATCTCACAAACCAAATACAGTTTAAGCAAAAAGTCTCCTATAAAAATTTGTCTAACATGCTTAATGGTTTTATTTATATTATCCCTCTTTGGGGTCACTGGTGAATGAAAAGAGAATCCTAGCTGTCAACTTCAGTTGCTTCCTTTTCTATATCAAAGGGACTCATCCAATGAACTCTAGCGATACACTGACCTCTCCAGAAAAACTGAACAGTCCAAGCAGAAAGCATAATTTTCATCTAGTTTTCTTTCCTGATTAAATTAGGCCTATCTATTTACTAATATAGTGGGTGATCAGTTAATGAACAGATCGGATAACGAACACTTTTGCAAAACATTTTTATGTTCAGACAACAACACATGATTGGATAACAAACACCCCACAGAGCAAACACAAGAAGAATCGATGTAAAATAATGAATACTGATTGTTCTTCCCTTGTCTTTGGGCAACAATTCAAAACTTTTCGGAGTGTGGGAGACATCAACGCTCAAGCTTGTATATACCAATCGGATAGTATTCCTCCGAACTCTGAAACTCTCCCTTGTAATTCCAGCCTTTTATTTTTTTGACAAAACAATTCTTTTGTGTATTCACGAGACTGTCGGGTAGCCACTCATCAAGTTTTGCGTCTGTTTTTCTTTTCGAAAGGTGAGAGTATAATAGCAAAGGTAGAGAGTGGGCAGAAGATGCCTAATGTTGCTGGCAATATGGCATAAACAGGTCTACAGTAGGTCTCAGTTCAATCTTATTTAAGAAAAATACTGTATAATCAAGAAGACTCCAGCAGCTAAAGGAGTAACAAAAATCACATCTGAGAAATAAAGAGCATTGAAGAGTTCATAATGGAACCTGAAATGGATCTGACGACAGAAGAACGCCAAGAACTCTTGAATGAACAAACACCAAGAAAACGCAGTGAGATATGTTTTCTTCTGAAAAAAAGGTTTAATGCTGATATATGTTATTAAAGATCCTGTGAAGAAGTGGAAGGATGTCAGAACAACGGTTTTAGAATGACATCCAAACCAGGTTGAGGCTTGGGGATCTCTACAATTACAACGCTATTAATTACTTACGAAAAATCCTGAAGAGAAAAAAGCAATCGACATGAGACAGATTCTTTAACCCTTTCAAACGGAAAAAACATGACTAATAAAATCGCAAGACTGTGTACGTATGTATTTTTATTATTACATATAAATAAACATAGTAAGAAAGTATATTTTTTATTTTTGGGGTCTCCAGAATGAATTAATTAAACTCCCATTAAAACTTACAGAAAATCGATAATCGGTTAACAAACAATTCAGATAGCGAACAAAATCTTGGAACGGATTATGTTCTTTAACTGATCACCCACTGTATACGGTAATCTCTAATTATTCCAATTTTGTAGCCTATTAGTTTGTTGGGCTGCAATTTGAAAAAATTGTAGACATGTCCAGAACGAATTAATCAAATTCCCATAAAAACCTATAGTAAATCGATAATCGGTTAACAAACAATTCAGATAGCGAACAAAATCTTGGAACGGATTATGTTCTTTAACTGATCACCCACTGTATATTATATACAATATATATAATACAGTAGAGCATCAATTATCCAAATGAATTGGGGACTGGGGTTGTTTGGAAAATCGATTTTTCGGATAACCGATTATGTACGAAAAAATATATTAACCTATCCCATATTGAAATTTGTTCAAATCCTGGCACATCCTTAAATACCCTCTCATGGTCGTTCCAGTGCTGCTAGCTAAAACATGCACACCAACAAAAACAATAATGGAATAGCCCAAGACATAGCCAAAGATTGCAGCGCCACAGCACTAGCGGAAATTTAAATTTTCCAACTGGAAAGCTTTTGGTTAATTGACGTTTCAGTTGATCAACATTTGGATAATTGATGCTCTACTGCAGTGTTCCGCAACCTTTTTCTACTCACGGCACACCTCTGACTCGACATGACTCAACACTGCACACCAAAATGTTATTCCTCTCAAAAACGTATGATATGATACTATTAGTAGAATTTCGTAATGCCATAAATCTATCATTATTATGTTGAGTTTTTTGAGTTACACTCAGTTGACACCGAT